TATTCATTTCACATAAGCCGGAAATTAAGATAAAATTCTCTTAAAGCTTTTAATGATTGCAGTGCTTCCTATATGACTGAATTTGCATAATAATATTTTTAATAATACTTTTATGCTGATTATTGGTGGATTAAAATGAAGTCTTTTATACATTTTGTGCATTTCACTACTGTCCAATTTTGTAAATACAAGTACACTACATACGTCATCAATACTTCCGCGAAATTGAATTTCGAACACACAAAATGTCTTGAAAATAGTCAGTTTGTTTGTAATTATGCACAAAGCTACACAATGGACTATCTGTGCTCTGCCCACCACGGGTATCGAAACCAGGATTCTAGCGTTGTAAGTCCGCAGACATTCCGCTGTGCCACTGGGGAGCGAAATAGTAAGTACAATACGTCTACATAAAACCAAGCAGCACGTGACAAGTCACTTCCGTCGATTTGACGTCATTAAACCATCAGATTATAAATACTAAATGATATGTACCCAACATGCCCTTGTGTTTTCAATCATTAGATCTTCCGTAGAAACAGACGATATGCAAGCGATAGGTTTAAAGTCCAGAAATACTTGCCAGACCTGTTAGGCCAAACCTCCCGTGAAAGTTACGGATAACTGATACATATTTGTATTATTTTTTGCTTTCTCTCTCGTATTTCCATACATGCATGCTGTAATTCACCACCACTAGGCGATTAGTTTCGCAGAGGACAGTCCAGTGTTGTTAGGTAAAAATGTTGACATAAAGATCTTTGGCTAAACTGATGACTTCGTAGATATCAATGAAAATCGTTTACCGAAATGTTAGATAATATCACAGTGCAGCTGTATTTACTTGTTATTATTGTTGAAGATAAATACTACTGGCTCATCGGTTCATCATATGTTGGAACAACTGAAGAATTAACTTGGCCTCCTGTTCCTGGCTTTGGAATAATATTAATTACTCAGTTAATTCACATTCTTTGAAGAACATTACGTCCGCGAAACAATCCGTTTTTCGTAATTTCCGGTACGAGAAATAAATTCCGAGAAGCTTGTGCTATATCATTGTTAGATTCGTGTGGAAGCAACATCTCTTTTCCGGCACTAGTCTTACCGAAACATAAACTGTTGTTAAAAAAAAAAAAAGACTCTAGATGCATTATATCGCGTTTGTGCTTACATGTACTCTGTTGATCATTAACAAGCATGTGTGGGCTTGTTGTTAGGACAAAAGTTTAAGTGGACTTCCATCTCATCTTTATCTCGTTATTTTCTGCCATGTGACACAAGTATGAATGTGGCTGTTACTTGATGCAAATAATTCTGAAGCATATTATAATACGGAAAAAACACGTAATATAAAGCGTACTAATTTATGTGTTTTTCTCCCAGTGACTCAGCGGTAAGACTGAAGACTTATAACACTAAATACCGGGTTTCGATACCCGTGGTGGACACAGCACAGATAGCCCATTGTGTAGCTTTTGGCTTAACTACAAAAAAACAACAACAAAAAACAATACTTGATGTCTTTCTTACACGAATCTGTACCGAAAGATCAGAATTCCGCTTAAAAAGAGAAAACGCGATACAGAAGATTTCATTTCAATTCATTTGACTAAAGTTACTTGAAAAGCATTGCTGATAAAATGTATATACACAGGCAGTTTTACTTCACTGCACACCCTCTCTCTATATATTTATATATAATGTAAACATGAACAATATTTAACCAGTTAAGTTAATATTCACATCAAAAACAAGGCCTGCGATAAAAACAGCAAGACCAAACCTGATAAAATAGAAACTATTTTAATTCAAATCAAGCCGCAATATAAATATAACATTACGTAACTTAAATAAATGAAGTCACCAGGTCACTGGCTATAATGTGGGAAATATAAAATGTGATCTGGCCTTTGGAGGTGACTGTGGAAGTAAGAGCCACATATAGCGGTGGGGATACAGCGTCTATCAATCTTCACCTTCGGGATGGAGGATGAATGTCATACTAGTTCAGATAACTAACTCGGTAGGGATTTTATATTATTCTAGTATAATTTGTCTGCAGTGCTATTAATATTACCCCATTAATCTGAACTTATACTGCTATAATTGGGGCTGAAGTTTCAACTTCAGAAGATGGTTGTTTTTACCCCCTCTCCTCCCAAATGGTAGGACCTTCTTTCTTTCTCATCTATTGTTTTCTGAGAGCAGTCTCCTCGTTACAGCTGTCTGCAGACTGTGAAGCTGATAACTATGCAGTACGTTGTGGCTTTGCGCACCCGCATCTTGCTCGCTTATCTTATTTTCTCTTTTTTATATCTTTTACGTGTGAAACATAGCGAACGGAGGTTAAGACCCCGCTATGTGAGTCCTACTTCCGCTTGTTTGTTTGTTTTTGAATTTCGCGCAAAGCTACACGAGGGCTTGACCGTCACATTATAACGCCTCCACGGCTGAAAATGCGAGCATGTTTGGCGGGGCGGGGATTCGAACCCTCGACCCTCAGATTGCGAGTCGAGCACCCTAACCACCTGGCCATGCCGGGTTCCTACTTCCCCAGTCATCTCCAAAGGCCAGGACACATTTTCTATTTTCTACAATTTATATTATGCCGTGATGACTTCATTTATCTTCATTATGCAGCGTTATGTTTGTATTATGACTTGCTTTGAATTATGTATATATATGTGTGTGTGTGTGTCATGGTTAACATAGAAAATTAGGCTTATCTCGTTATAATAGCTAATTTTATATATTTAAATATCAATTTTAGCAACAAACAAGTATCTGGAAAAAAAGTTAAACCGCAATGGGGGTAATAAGGCCACGGAAGACTTGTCCAGCATTAGATAAACAGAATTAAAACAACAAACTTCTACACCCTGTCAAACTGTCGTACGTACGATTTTTTGTTTTAACACAATGCATCGTGGGTTTTATACGCTGCTTCCGCCGCGGGGATCTAGCCCAAAATTCAAACATCCTCATGTTTATAGCTGAGCCACTGGTGGACATTTTAGGTAGGTGAAAGCTTAAAGCATAAATAACTACTAACGTAGAGTAAAAATTATTGACGCATAAGCACAACTGACTAGTTTTTGTCATTAAAGAACCAATTACACACTTGCTCTTCCTACAAAGACCTTATGTTTACTGAATCATTATATATATATGTCTAGCACAAAGATCTTATGTTTATTGAACATGATTATATATATATATATATATAATACAAATAACATATGCTTAACTGAATTATTAAATACATCTAACAAAAAGATCTTATGTGTACTGAACATGATTATATATATATATATCAAACACAAAAAGCTTGTGTTTACTGAACATAATTATATATATATATATATATATAAATCTAATACAAAGAGCTTATGTCTAACTGAATTATCTTATATATCTAACGCAGAGATCTTATGTTCACTGACATGATTATATACGTATATATATCTAATAGCTTGCTATCTACGATTACTATACAAAGTTTTATCTAAGGTACAAGAACGTGAGAACAGTGTATATAAGAATGACACATTGGCTGATGAAGGGCTACTGTGTTTTAATGTTCAAAATAAATGGTATAGCTACATAGAAGAAAGTTAAATAACTTCAAGATCATCCTGTATATACTGATGTTTAACTTTATTGATATAGATAATAATAATAATAATAAAAGGTACAAGTAACAGTTTACTGCTTTTGAATAAAACCTATACGCTAAAAGGTAGAAAAGAACAAATAAATTGTGTTTCTGATTTGCAGTGTTTGAGTGAAGGCTATTGAACTTCCAAACCGACAGGCTAGTTCAAATCTTCAAGGTGTATTAATATGCTTTATGATGTGTAAGAATAACCTATTTCAGAAGGTTGTTTGGCCGAAATGTTGACTTCAATCCCAGTGTCTGTTAGTAATATATGTGTGACTGTTTGTAAAGGTAATAGTTTTGGTTATCACGAAATCGTCATTTGCAGTCGGAGCTAACTACACCGTAGAATTGAAACTGAATTTCACCATGTTACTTTTACAATCTACTAAACTTCCAAGAGAAAAAATAAATCAGCTGATTAAATCAACTTACAAACCAACTTGTACATCAAACACGGTCTTATAAATCAATATATTCACCAAACACAGTATTGTAAACCAATTTGTATATCAAACACGGTCTTAAAAACCAGCTTATTCTCAAACATAATCTTATTAACCACCTTATACGTCAGCTAATGTTATAAGCCAACATATACATCAAACACAGTCTTACAAACCAACTTGTATATCAAACACGGTCTTATCAATCAACTTATACATTAAACACAGTCTTACAAACCAACTTGTATATCAAACACGGTCTTATAAATCAACTTATACATTAAACACAGTCTTACAAACCAACTTGTATATCAAACATGGTCTTATAAATCAACTTGTACATCAAACACGGGTTTGTAAACCAAGTTATACATCAAATACAATCTTATAAACCAATTTACATTACCCATTTATCGTGCCGATATGTGGAGCTAAGAATCCATGGTTCGCGTCCTCTATCGCCAAAAAAAAAATATAAAAAATCGCGCTCAGTATATTGAAGCAGTGGGTGCGGTATAAAGGTGACAGTAAAATTTCATTATTTGGTCTGACAAGAGTAGAGCCCAAGAGCTGGCGGTGGGTGGTGTTCATTCTACTACTTCTAGTCTATCACTACAAAATTAGGGACGGCTAGCGCATATAACCCTCAATAAAATAACTCTCGTCTCGTAAAACATTACATTTAGGACGAAAAATGCTGGGTTCATTTATAATGCTCCTTTTCCAGATTTGAAAGAAGAAACACTTAACAATGACGCGACCGTCGAATTGCCAGGATGTACCTTTAGGGCACAACATTGCACTCCGTACTTATATGTATTGGCTTATTATTATTAGTTAAGAATTAGGAGGGATCCACGTGCTTTTTCGTTTTTGTTTTTTTTTTCACTTACCGAATTCTCTGCTGTTCCTGATCGCAATTTCCGTACCGTTGCTAGGCTGGAAATGTTAGGTATACATAATATTGTGGGTCGTTTACTGAAGTGAGAGCATATTGTGCAACCCTGCAACTGAAACGCGGTTAAGCGTGAGTGCCGGTCTACATCCTGTGACGTTTTTCTTTGGCTGATTTGACTCATCTCGGATTTGTTGATTAGCTATGACGTCAGTTAATACGTGTGTTGATTTGTCCTTAATTTCTCGAGATCTCCGATACTTGGGGGAAATAACTTTCTTCGAACTTGATGTAGGTTAGTGCGTTTATTATGAATATTCATTTATACCTGTAATAAATTGTCTGCTTCGCTAACAAAACTGGTGAATGTATTTGAGTACTTATCTGTTGTTAAACGCAAAGCTACACAATGGTCTATATCTCCGCTGTGTTCAACGCATGTATCGAAACCTGACTTTTAGCCTTATAAGCCCCTAGACTTACCGCTGAGAGAATCGGTGGCGCAGGTGCATGTAAATGTATTGAAATAAAAGAACTATGACGTTATCAGTAGGCACAACGATGAAACACACCGATAAGCGCTGTAATCGAATTGTCCACCACAAAACGGAGATTGAATACAACTTGTGCAACATGATAAGTGAAATCCCAGTTATTGTGACATCATACTATATCTTGCCTTTACACCTGTATTACCATAGTTTGCATCATATTACTTTTTTTTTCTTCATAGATTTGATATAGATTTGCCAGTTTTGCTACGGTAAAAAGCTGGTTTGAAACATATATCTAACAATATAGAATAATACAATTTGATTACACAGGCCCGTGATGGTTTTATTATCTTAACATTTTTACATGTTCTATAGTCATTGCTGTACGCTGAATCCGAAGATAATATCCA